GTAGTAGTAGTAGTTTAAGTAGTAGAAGTTGTAGAGAGGTAGAATGCAAGAAAGTCTCATTTTTAAATCAAAACGGATCCTTCTAATCGAGGAGGTTAAAGCTATTGAATAGAAATATCATGAAATGTAAATAAAAGGTTAATAACTTCGACATTTTTATCAAGAGCAATCGTTTTACATGATTATTCAATAAGGCTTCAAGTCAGTTCACATTTTGTATAGGTACAGAATATGTGGACCCAAGTGGGTTCAACAATTCCGTGGTGATCTCACATTAGCACCGGGCACTGCAAAGTTGCTTAAATCTAGCCTCTGCAACACTGTCTATCTTTAAGTCCCCAAAAAAACAGCTTGTTGTTATCGTTTTGCGTTTAACGCCCGTAGATAAATGATGATCGTGGTACTAACGCATGCGTGGCTTAAATTGATCACAAAAATGTCCCATGCACGCTGAGAAAAACTTCCTATCTTAGTCAATTTATATTACAATATCCTGCAATGAATGTTACAATTTTGAGCCCTTAGCGTAAATTGCTTGCGGCTCCCCAGCGACATCCCGAGCATGAATACATTCTACATAGCCAAGATCGTCGTTGGTATCTTCATGTTCCTTTTCTTCTTCACGTAGTGCTCGTGCAGCTCTGGCTGTAGATATTGCGTTGCTGTACATTAACTCCCCTGCTTCGTTAGATTTTTGTGGAAGACCGGCAGTGGACAGTTCAGGAACATAGGCTAATATGGGGGGGGCGATATGAGAAAAACATCTTGCTCTGGGAGCTAATGGTGGCGGACTTTCATTAGACGTCAGAACTCCAGAACTGTCAAGAGAAAACTTTCTTTTCGTGTTCTTGGCCGGTTGAACACCATGCTGAAACAATCCCGGATTTTCTATGGTACCAGATGGTCTCCTTGTCAGGGGAACAGGAGGAGGATTGTTCACCGATTGTTTCCTGACCGCGTTCCTCCCGGGAATGACCGGTCGTACGTCGGCAGGATCTGTTGATTCAGGAATGGTGGGCAACGGAGGACTGTAACTTGGGTTTTGTTGTCGTAGCACTTCATTGTATGAGGGTGGCCCGGGTGGCATCACAAGATCTCTGGGATCCTCGTAATCGTGTCCTTGGTTCCCATGGGACATTTCATGCTCGGTTAACTGAGCTGCAGCGCTCTTTTGTGTGGAAAACGTCCTCACAGGGCGTGGTCCTGTATTTTGGTGACACTTTACAACCTTGGAAAGAGCAACCAAATTAAAAAAATTGTCGTTCAACTGTGGAATTTTCAAAGAAACTTTTGCATGCATGGCAATAATGTACTTCTTGAAGACCTTTAGTAGCATAATTCTGTATCATTTTCAATTAAAATTTCGCGTTTAGACTCCTATTTGATATCATTTCAAATTTCAAGGAGACTAGCAATTTATAAATAGACGCGCACACTGTGTTCTGTAGAGTGAGATAAGTCATCTGACCTGGAATCGAAAATCTGAAGCTCGAATCCTAGACACGAATGCGGAATGAGAAATAGTTCCTTTGTCCCGTGCTTTATGTTTTTCTTATTTAGCAAAAGAAAAATTACTAAAAGTATATGAATATAAATTATAATCATGACTACGGCATCTCACCTTATAAATTCCAATCAGAATCAAAAGTGCAAATACACATCCTATGGAAATTCCAACAAAGGCAGCCACCGATAAACCTTTAGATCCACGAGTTGTTGGGAGTTGGCAAATTTTGTCATTTTGCTCATCATCTGTCGAATTAATGGAAAAATTATCAAATCTTTATTATAAGGTTGTATAGAAAATGCTAAGACTATGATTAGTCGTCTCAGTCAACCAAGTACATTACCCTGATCTTTATTAGCAGCTTAACAACTGAAATCGATTAACACGACGTTCATCCACAAGGTACCGGAAGTCGAGAAATAATAGTTGTTAAGGGCCTTTGCCATATAATCATTGCTAACAAGTGAGAGATTTACCTGCCATAATCGCTTCGACTGGGTATACGTTTCCATTACAGTCTAATTTAAAATTTATTCGAACATGCTCTGAGCGATCGCGATGAGTGGATCTTATTTGAAACTTACATTAAAAGAAATTAATTAAAAGAGGCGACTTGTTTGGTAATTCAGCAATTATCAGCGGGAAGGTGTGGTCGGGCCGCAAGGGGAAATTCTTTTTGTTTTTAATTACGTAATCGAATCATACGGGCTACCGACAATGGATAACATTAAAAAGCTTTTTACCTCTATAAGCCGGATTTTCTGTTCCTCTGAAACATTTTTCTGAGGTGCCGCAGTAAGGTTTTGACAACGGTATTCCGTCTTTGTCTTTCTTGCACCAATAACAGCTTACCAGTCCATCACATGTTCTTTGCTCATCCTTCTCTCCACAATGAGGATCAAAGCATTTTTCAAGACATTTTTCACTCTTAAGAGTAGAAAATGAATCAAAATCTGCTTGTTTTGGTCCCAGTGCTGGGCAAATGGGAAGACTGAAAGTACATGGCAAAACAAATAAACAATGGCCTCTATTTGGCTCGAAAATATATATGAAGGATAATTGAGGGAAATAGTAGCAAATGCTGTTGGAAAGTGCTCAATACACATGAGTGTAGAGCGAAATACAGTTCAAAATGACTAAAATTGAAATTAAATCTGTCTGACGAGTGCGTAAGCACGAAACTCAGAGTTACAGGGAATCATGCGTGTTTCATTTTAGTCATTTTGAACTACATGTAGGATATTTATCCGCGGTCATAACCAACGCATCAGAAATAAATTGAAGAGGAATCAAATTTCCCTTCAAGTCGACCGAACCCTTCTATTTACACGCCATTGCCAGCGTTTTCTGAATAAAGTATTACGAACATGATAAATTAAGAACGGTAGAACTAATTACAAGATGGAAATAACATATGAAGTAACGGAAACTCGACGAAAGGGCAATTTACCGGACGATTTTGGAATACGGCTGGCATAAGAACATACTCACGATTGCATTAGAACTCGAGATCACACTTTTTTATTTTCATGGTCCGCGAGAAAGTCAAACTGGTATGGATGGCCGCGCGGATTGAGGTTAGGCGGGGGATTGGTTTCTACAGCGGTCGTTATCGTTTCCAAGATACGAGCAGTTTTCCAAAACCGAAGCTTGAGCAAAATTGTGAGCTTCGATGAACAGATAACATCCATGGAAAAATATATGAGAATATTTTGGCACAAAATAGAGGTTATTGTGTTTATTATCCTTCAAATATTTTGCCACGCGCGTAAAAATGAAAGAAATGTGTGCGAACGGCTAACGGTTTGCTGCTTGGGAGGTGCGTCTTCTTCTTCAGCAACAACCATAAAACCTTCTCTCTTTTTGGAATAAATTTCAAACGAAGATATCGTAATGGACGTAGGGTTTGAAAATTGGGGATCATCACAAGGGTGATAGCTGGGGAATATTCGGTCACGCGATACGCTTAGATCAATCGCGCGCGACAAAAATATTTGATAGATCATAACTAAGATGATAATCACGTGAAGAATTACGCTCGATTCAGATAGATGGTGGATCAAACCACGAAAAAATAGGTATTGAAATAACTCCAACCTGCTATTGGGAAACTCTCCATGGCAATACCGGAAAACAAGCTTGGAGTGACATGGACATTCACAGGAGGATGGGTATAGACACTGTTTACCCGAGGAACAGGTGCATTCGGCTTGTGAAGAACAGATCGAGTCTTTGACAGAAATTCCTGCGAAAAACGTAGCACAAAACTATTGTTTCTGTTTATTTTGTATCATTGGCAGGGAGAAAAAATCAGGCACATAGGCTCAGTTGTTCCAGCGTCGATGGAAAGGGTAAAATTCAAATATACATGTGACTTAAGTAATGATCAGGATTTCAAAAATTTCACAATGGTGATATAGAAAAAAGGATTTATGAAGTATGTCAGAAAATGGTAGTTCTCATGTGTCAAAAATTGAAAAGGTTTTACCCCAAAACCAAATGAGCCTGACACTTTTCAAATCTCAGCTTATTTGAGGTAAGTTCTCAACACCAATTTCAACTACCACCCAGCCTATAGGGTAGGGACTTATTGACATTCAATTCATGATTTAAGAAAAAGCATTTGTAAACTTGGAGAAGATTAGAGTTCTTTTTCAAATAGTTTATCTATTTACAAACCTAAATACACGTTTGTTCCTCCAATTTTTCCGAGTTGGTATCGGTTACAGCCCCCAACATTGTCGAGCGCATCGACTCCGCCATCTGGTAAAGTGACTTCATAAAATGTTTGCATCTGTAAGTCTTCCAGTTTGCGACATTCCTTTTTCTTCAAGTATCCGTTTTGGAACATGTGTAGTGCTATATGTTTCTCTTTTTCGGTTATATGCACATTCTCGACTCCACCTTCTTCTGAGGCCGAGGGGACCATAAAGTCCTCGTGCATGACCAAGAAACCAGCGTCGTCTATTATAAAGCACGAGTAGTCTTCAGTTTCTCTGCATTTGGGGTAAGCATCAGTAAGCAGCCTTTTGGATTCGAATAGACGTG